ATATGAGTGTCCAGATTGTGGGAAGAGTTTCAGTCAGAATTCTAACCTGGTGATACACCAGAGGACTCACACTGGGGAGAAACCATATGAGTGTCCAGTTTGTGGGAAAAGTTTCAGGCAGAATTCTAACCTGGTGATACATCAGAGGACTCACACAGGAGAGAAACCATATGAATGCCCAGATTGTGGGAAAAGTTTCATTCGGAATTCTGAGCTGGTGATACACCAGAAGACTCACACAGGAGAGAAACCGTATGAGTGTCCGAATTGCGGGAAAAGTTTCATTCAGAATTCTGACCTGGTGAGACACCAGAGGACTCACACAGGAGAGAAACCGTATGAGTGTCCGGTTTGTGGGAAAAGTTTCAGTCGGAATTCCCACCTGGTGATACATCAGCGGACTCACACAGGAGAGAAACCGTATGAGTGTCTGGATTGTGGGAAAAGTTTCATTCGGAATTCTGACCTGGTGATACACCAGAGGACTCACACTGGGGAGAGACCATATGAGTGTCCAGATTGTGGGAAAAGTTTCAGTCGGAATTCTGACCTGGTGATACACCAGAGGACGCATACCGGGGAGAAGCCATATGAGTGTTTGTATTGTGGGAAAAGTTTCAGTCAGAATTCCTACCTGGTGATACACCAGAGGACTCACACTGGAGAGAAACCGTATGTGTGTCTGGATTGTGGGAAAAATTTCAGTCGGAATTCTGACCTGGTGATACACCAGAGGACGCATACCGGGGAGAAGCCATATGAGTGTTTGTATTGTGGGAAAAGTTTCAGTCAGAATTCCTACCTGGTGATACACCAGAGGACTCACACTGGAGAGAAACCGTATGTGTGTCTGGATTGTGGGAAAAATTTCAGTCGGAATTCTGACCTGGTGATACACCAGAGGACTCACACAGGAGAGAAACCGTATGAGTGTCCGGAATGTGGGAAAGATTTCAGTACTAGGTCTAGCCTTATAAATCATGTAGGTTTACACACAGGGGAGAAACCATTCAAATGCCCAGACTGCGGACGGTGCTTCACACAAAATTCCTCCCTTATTGCACACAAGAAACTCCACACGAGGCAGAAGATGATGTGTGTAGAAAAGACTTGAACTGAATTTCTGATTGCACCTGAGAAATTATTTAACATTTCTCACTCTTAAATCTGAGGGAGGAGAGGAAAAAAATGGAAAATATTAGATAGATAAAGGCTAAGTAGACATATCTGGCTCTCAGGAGACCTTACTGGATATTTAATTGTATAGATATAGTGCAGTTGCCGCAAAAAGGCTTTTTGGGAGTGTTTTTTGCATACTGATCATCATACGTCTTAGAAATGCAACATGCAGAATTTCAGCCTTCTTCAACCTGGGTGTCCTCCAGATTTTGAGCCCCAGAACTCCCCAGCCAGCATAACCTTTGCAGAAAATATCTGGGAGTCATAGCGAATGTTTCTGGGAGGCTCCAATAAGTTGCTGCAGGTCCTTAAAAATACATTAAAGAAAAGATAGAAGCACTTTTGCTTCAGTTAGAGATTGTGGTTCCTCAGATATGAAGAAAGTGATATAAAAGGAGAGGTGAAGAGGGTTCAAAGTTCATCTTTTCCTAACACCTCCAGAAATTAAGTGCAAGGAGTATCAGATTGTGGCAAGGATGAATCACAAATATCACAGAAACTATTAAAATGGAGAACATATTAGGGACATTTGTGGCAGTGACAATTGTAAAATTTCACATCTAAAGACTGTTCTGAGTTGCAATTGAACATGATGAATAAGACTTGTAGATAGAATATTGAGTTGAGGAGAAAAGGCATTGTGGTTTTGAGCACAGGATCTTCAGGTTTTTTAACAACCCCTGCTGTGATCTTGTTTGCTCGGAGGTGCCTGCTTGTTACTGTTTGATGGCTGGTGGTTGACATCAGCGCCAAGATCCTGACATTTTTGTTGCATCCCCCTTGGTGGTGATGTGAGACAAAAATTGTACAGTGGAAAACATTTCAATTGTAAAAATGGATTGTGTGAGACCGATTAATAGCTTTTGACAAGGAAAAAAATGGGCAGCATCAGCAACAGGGGGGTAAGGTAATGTAAAGCTCTCTTCCCAACACACGGGACACATTTCCATCTCTTTCACTCCTCTCTCAGGGCTTCCTTTGAAATGTTTCCAAAAAATCCCTTCAAGTAAAGGGAGGAAAATTATTTGGAGCAGCTAAGTGGCATTTTACCTATGCAGATGAACAATCCTGATTTTTCTGAGTGTGAAGGACAGAAAAGAATTCACGGTTTGTTCATTTCAGTAACACAGTTCATCTATCAAGTGATGATCCTTTTTTTTCCTAGTAGATCACATTGCATATAATCATTTTGCAGAAGGACACCCAACAACCTGGACCCTGCCAGGGGTTAAGAGGAATCAAGAGGCTCTTTTGGCTTGAGCCTCAATCTCCAAGTGGCTTCAAATTTAAACATTTGCAAACTCTTTAAACTGTTTATTACAGGTAGCGTGTTTCTTTTGATTATCAATCTGTGAAGACTTCATTTTGTTCACTTTTGTACAAAAGATGTCTCATTTGTACAACCAAACTACCAGAAGACAATAAAGTGGGGCAGTGGGTATGAGTGTGAGGTTACTAATAACAATACTGTATGTCATCCTTAAGAATTAAGTGCAGAACAGAAATAAAACAACATTAATTGAATTTGAATTTTAAAAATACAAAGTGAACATATTAAAATTGACACTAAGGGGATAGTGGAGTATCCAAAAATAACCCCTTTACAATAAAGAGAATATATAAATTAGACCCCACAAAACCTACTAACAATATATACTACTAAAACTCTCGTGTCAGTTTGTATGTTTGTAATCTTCAGTTGGGCAAAACGTGCGTCATAGGGCAACAATTTTTGAAGAAATTTATCTCATGGGCTAACTTACAGAATGCCGGGCCCTTTGGGTAGGGAATCTGGCAAAGTTGCGACTGCTTCAGTACCACTGTGCTGCCACCATCAGTCGAGGTCATGCAATTCTCATTTCCATCGCTGCCTGACACCTTCCCACAAGTCAATCAGGAAGCCAGCAGGAAGTCTAAACTCTATTGTGATTGCCAACACTCCATGCCAGCTTCCCACAAGGAAAGTCTGCTTGTGGGAAGCTTACAGGGAATGGGGAAGCAGGCAGGGAAGGTCGCAAGTTGCTTGGCTAAGTCTCCCCCACCCATGCACCCACACACACCTTCTGTGACCTGCATTGCACCCTTACATACCTCCCTGACCATCGCCACCCCTCTCAGGCAACCCGTCACATCCTCGCATAACCTCCCTGACCCACACCCTGCCTCTTGTATACCCCCACACACCCCCACTGCACCCCCTCGCACACCATTCCTGACCCACAGTATACCTCTCACACACACACCCTGATCTGTGCTGCTGACCCTTGCCACACCTGTCATGCACACACCCCAACCCAACCCTCTCATGCACCCTCTCAGACCCTTGTGCACCCTGCCTGAGCCACACTGTGCCTCTTGGAAGGGAGGGGGAAGTCAGTCAGTCAGTCAGTCAGTCAGTCAGTCAGTCAGTCTTCTTGGATCACCATCATCACCCACACCACATTCGATCTGCATCAGAAATGGCAGTTTAGGGGGGCCCTCTGCACAGGTTAGCCTGCCGATCAATCAGCTGTATCCTTTTGCAGGTTATTCTGGTTTTCACTTGACAGACCCTCAAGATCCCTTGACTGCCTGCCTTGTTACAAAAGCAGGTTTTTTGTTTCCCTACAGAAAAAAAAAACACTTGTCCCCTGTTTGACACCTCTCCAAAACTTGCCCGCCAATCAGATCCCAAGGATTTCCTGCCTCTCAGCTCCAGAGTGTATAAATTCTATGCTTTTCTATTGTTCAGGGTCCCTTTTTCCTGGAAAGCGGGCACCCTATGATCACTGCAATAAACATGGTTCTTCCCCTCAGCGTTGTGCTCGTGTCTTTGGCAAAAGTTCTACAACCGTTTTGGTGTCGGAAGTGGGATCCAGCGATCTGCTCTGGTGAGTTCTGGCTACAACTCAGACCCACGTCTGAGAACGTGAGGGAAGTTGCGTCCCTTCCTCCCTTGGGTCAGCACTCCCCAGAGCGGTGCCTGGATCAGCCCCTGAGGAGAAAGCCAAGAGGTTGCCGGGACAGCACCGGTGGGTAAGAGTTGCGGACAGTTTGAATTGCCACCAGGCTAGTTTTTTCCACCAGTAGGTTGTGTGCACGGTTTAGGTGGCAGTGGCTGGGCCTGTCGCTCCCCTTCCCAGCGGGTCTCAGACGGGGCTAGAGGATGGTGCCAGGGTTCCCAACGGGTCTTCCGGTTCCCCTTCCAAGCAGGGCGCGGCAGGAGCAAGAGAAGGTTTGGGATGAGGCAAAGGCCAACCAGTCTCGTGAGGTTGAGTCCTGGCGTGGCACCTCCCCAGGCCTAAAGAGAGTGATTGGATCCAGGTTGTCTGTGGTTTTACGTCCAGATGTTGTTTGTGAGTCGGAGTTGTTTGCGAGCTCATTTCTCGTCTCCTTTTTGTTGCCCTGTGCAGCCACATCTAGGATTTCCCAAGTGGATATCTTAGAAAGCAAGAGTTCAGAGCAACTCTTTCTTTCTCCCTTTTTCCTCTCCCCCCTCCCCCCATAAAGAGAGGGGACTATGGGAAAAAGGCAGTCCAAGTTCCCCCGGGAGCTTTTTGCCATATGGTGCAAAAATATGGCAAAAAGGCCATAAGAAACACTCCTTTATGGGGCAACGGGACAAAGGAATCTGCTGAGAACCAGTTCCTGGGGAAGGAACGTTTAAGCTAAGAAAGATTTCTTATTTTTTAAAAAAAACGAATCTAGCAAATCGACTGGTGGGAAGGCGAATGTCATTTTAAAGATGCTCCACAGCAAATAAACGCACACAAAAAAACCAACCCTATTTCCAACTTGTAAGATAGTAACAAAAGCCCGAAGCAGCAAAATGAAAAGTTAAAGGAACAAGTTGCTGAGCTGAGGGCACAACCTGAACCACCCGCCCCACCTGTTCCTTTGTATCCCTCCCTTCCCAAGGCTGTGCCAACCATTCCTTGCTGCCCCAAGGATCCCCTAGACCAGTGTTCCTCAACCTTGCAACTTTAATATATGTGGACTTCAACTCCCAGAATTCCCCAGCCAGCCGTGCTGGCTGGGGAATTCTGGGAGTT